GGATCTCCTCGTCCATGGCGGCCTTCACCGCCTCACCCTTCCAGCTCGCCAGCGCATTCTTTACTGTCATCGTTGCGATGTCCCAGCGGTGTTCGGGGTCGGCATGCACGTCGTGGTTGAGCTTCGGCAGGTCGACATCAGCTTCGGTGTCGTCGTACAGCAGGTCATTGTGGGGGTCGTCATACACCGTGGTGAAGGCAGCCTGTGGCAGGCAGGCATGGTAGCTCAGCCACTTTGGGGCCTCCGAGTTCGACCTGAGCGTCGCAGCTCAGGCTTTTCGACCAGAACCTCCACCACGTCGCTGTCAGTGGATTCTTCTCCTGCCGACAGTTCCCTTTCCTCGTCACTGTTTTCATCGTCAACCAGCTCTTTCGTTTACAGCTCCCCTATCGAGTGTCCCGTCTGCTGCTCCCTTGTCGACTGCACTCCTGCTGCTGCCTCCTGTTCGGCTGGCTCCCCTGTCTGCTGCTCCCTTGTCATCGACGGCTTCTCGTCCTTGTCGACGAGCTTGGCGCCTGTCGGCCACAGGGGACGCCTCAAGGCTCCCCTCATCACCAGTGGTTGACGCAGGTGTCGATGTAGGCCGATCTGTGACGGGGGTGGGTGGAGCAAGAATAGGGGGTGGAGGAAGAACTTTCTCGAAGTCTGGATCAGCAGGCTCGTCAACTTCGGCAAGCAGCGGAACCGTCGCCGTCGAGCTGTCCGTCGGCGGGTGTGCCTATGTCCGCCCTGACGCCGGCCCATACTTCGCCTTCGACACCTCCAGCGATGGCGTCTCGTAGAAGATCACATCGACCGACGTGACCACCATATTGTCAGTCAAGTCTAGCACATCCTAGCCCATACTCTCCGGCAACACGCCTAGGTGAAGCCCCCAGCGAGCCTTCGGTGCCAGCTTCCCACCGCACTGCTGCTCGAGAACCATGAACTGCACCATGCAGCCCTACACCCACGCCAGCGTGAGGTCTGGCTTCTTCCCAGTCAGCAGTAGGCACTGCGTCATCCCCGGTGGCGGCGTCGACCGCTCCAAGCCGTTGCGCACCCAGACGGCCTGTCGTAGGGCGAGGTGCCACCAGTGGTGCTGCACGCCCATGTGCAGCAGCATCGTCCCCGTGGACTCGACGGCCGTGCGCATCTCCCGCTCAGCCATGCCGTTCTGCTGCGGAGTGTATGGGCACGTCATGTCGTGGACGATGCCTTTTCCGTTGATGAAGTTGGTAAACTCCTCGATGAGCTCCCCTCCTCGGTCTTAGTGGAGCATCAGCACCGACTTCTTCGCCTGCCGCTCTACCAGCACCAGCCACTTATGAAACTCCCGCAGCATGTCTCTTTTTTTAGCGACCAGCATTGCCCACATGAACCGAGTGGTGGGGAGGGTAGTGATGGCACTTGTGATTAGACTCTTGATAGGTACCGTCATACCCCGGATATAAGCGCCACCCGCGGATAAGCGCATGGCGCTTTTAATTGGCGTGTGGCGCTTATATCCGGTGCTCGATTATAAGCGCATACCTAAAAGGCTTACAGATTATAACCGCATACCTATACCGTACACATTATAACCGCCACCGTGTTTTTTTGTTGTTTTTTTTATTTGAAGACATTTTATACATTTAATCCACTAGCATATCATGTTAGTTAATCTACAACTAGTTTATCTACTTCTAGTTAATCTACTTCTACTTACGAGCCTCACACAGGCTTCACCATTTTCTAGAAATCTACCCTACTCTAATCATCAGCTGCAGTGGGGTCATCTGGGTCGGCCTCAGAGTCCGACTCAGGTTCCTCTACGTTGTTGCAGAAGAAACCGTCTGCTGCAATTTCATCATCCATGTCAACCTCCTCGCCCTCGAGCTCGTCTCGCCTGTGTTGCAGGCAGAGCATGTCCTGGGACCCATCCAGGGCGTTGCTGATGCCGCAAGTGAGGAACGCCCGTTGAATGAGCTCCTTGGGCACGGACTTCCAGGCCGCCGAGATCCACTTGAGCGTCAGCTCGACAGGAGGCTTCTTGATGTTGCCTGCCACGCAAATCCACTAACCAGGTCAGCACGGGTTAAAGAAATAAAAACATAATCAGTGCTGCACCTCTCACCTTTGTTCGTCAAGGTGTCGACCCCCTCACGCTCAAACCACTCCTGGTAGAGCTGGCGAACGGCGGCCTTGAAGGAGCGGTTAACCGCGACGTCGAGGGGTTGAATCTCCGAGGTGCAGCCAGCAGGGATAACCGCAGGGACCAGGTTGAGCTCGCCAAACTTCTTCTTCACCTCCGGGGTCAGGTGCCCGCGGTACGAATCGAGGACGAGCAGAGCCTTGCGGGGACGGACTCCGAACTTGGGGTTGATGTACGGCTTCACCGCCCCGTCCAGCCACTCGATGACCCCGTCCGCGTCCATCCAACCGTTGGGATGGACCCCCACGTGGATATCTGCACAACATCAAAACGACGATGTTAGTTACCGTACGTTTATTACCTGACATGAACATGCCACCGCGTAATCGACGTGTGCTTCATACCTGAAGGAAAATCTCCTTTTGGGACGGTCTTCCTTTTGAAGAAGACCCACGGCTTCAACTTCTCCCCGCTGGCGGTGCAGGCGAGCATCATGGTAACCCGCTCTTTCTGGTAGCCGCCGCTGCGGACGGGCACGGAGCGCGAGCCAACCTCTTCAACGGTACGTTCGGATGGCATCTCAAGCCAGAGGGGCGTCTGGTCCGCGTTTAAGATCCACGGCAGGTCGATCTTGTACTGGCGGCGGGAGTGACGCACGTACGTCCAGAAGCTCTTGACATCAGTCTCGCAGTCTGGGACACGGGATGGGAGGAACAGAAATCACAAACACAGAGTGAGAGCCGTGAATAGACGGTTCATACAAACAACAACACCACCAAATAACTCACTTGACGAGAGCTTCTGGCCGACCCGGGTCTTCGCTCTGGTCGTCAGGTTCCAGCGGCGGCGAAAGCGCTGAGTCCACCGCTGAGAGCCGGCCCACTTTTCACCTGGGTGTAACTCTTTCATCACCTCGTGCGACCACTTTTGCAGTCGTGCGATCGAGACGGCGAGGCACTTCTTGCGGTGGGCGAGAAACCTCCGGTACATCTCCGCTTCCATGTCCCGATACCACGAGCACCTTCCGCGGCCGTGCAGGCGACAGCGTGCACCGTGCGCGCCCTCAAGCTCAGCTTTGCGGTTCTTCCACTCCGTGAGACACCTTCGAGAGATGCCGGATTCGCGAGACATGCGCCGCACACTCATCTCTCCGTTTTCGAGCTTCAGAATCCATTGCAGCTTCTTATGCGAGGTGTAGGAATTGCGCCTGTGCTTTGTCGGCCTGTGCCTGGGTGAGGGAGGACGGGCATCACGATTATCGCGAGATGGGTGGGGCCTTTTTTTATTCGGAGGGGGGAAGGAGGGAATCGGAAGGTGCTCGGGGAGACCGTCAGCAGCCCAGAACTCCACGTCGTCGTCTGCACCTGTTGCGGATTCGTCCAACGGGCAATCAGCCAGCGCTCCCCACCGTGGCTCCGGTGCGGAGGAAGATCCTTCGCCGCCGCTGCGTTCAGGGTCGGACAGGAAGGCGTCGAACGCCGAGTAGCCAGGGGGGAGGAGAAGCTGCAGAACCCCCTGTCCCGGAACACCAAAAGCAGCCGGGACGGGAGGGGCCGGAGGAACGGGAGGAATAGGAGGCGCCGGGGGAGCGGGGGGGGGTAGGAGGCGTAGGAGGAGTGGGAGGAACGGGAGGCACTACTGGTTGTGATGGAGGGATGGGCGCAGGGCGCGACTGCCATTGAGAGTAGTCACGGGTGTCTCTGCGGGTACTTTCTCTAGCAGCAGGTTGGCGGCGGAACAAGAAATGAAAGCCTGGAAGGCCCGCCATGGCCACGGCAGGCCAAACGAACAAAGAAAACTGAATCAAAAGCTGAGAATGAGGGCCGTATGAAGCCCTCGCCCGAGACCCCTTCAGTTTTGCGGCCCGGCTTCCTCTGCGGGGAAAGTCCAGCCACAGTCAAGATTCCCCGCAGAGGAGCTGAGCTGGGAAGCTCTTTGCCTCTGTGGCAGGGAATCTTGATGTTGATGGGCACGTCGTGGCTGAACCACGACGTGCCCACGATCGCATGCAACCATGATTGGGCTGCTGTGATGCGAAGTACGTGTGCGCTGGCATGGGCCAGGTTCACATTCGATGAACCTGGCCTGACCAACAAGGCGTGGAAGGCGTCATGCCACGCCTTGTTGGTCGTTTCACGCGCAAAGCATGCACAATTTCGAACGTTCTCGACTCAGGTGAATTCGCCTTTGAGAATGCTTCGATTTGGTATATTTAAAAACAAATTTCATTTTTGACAGAACATAACCACCGGCGCTTATAATTTTGCTATAGTATAAGCCCACCCCCTAAAAAAAATATGTTTTATTTGTGCCCCCCATGGGGGCTTATCTGGGGTATGACGGTACTCCGAGTCCTCGCCAACTTCACTAGGGCCAACTTCACCCCGCTCGGCAAATATATTCCTAAAGGTGGTTAGGACGACGGTCGTTTTTAAGAGGGTACGTTTCAGACTTCTCAGACGAGTTAGAGCTGAGCAAAAAGTGGGTCTCAATAAAACTTCAAGCGATGCACTGCGATCTCACTGCGGCAGTTTGCTTACATCTCGACACTTGATTGACACATTCATAGCCTTCAAATTCTGGGAGTTCACTGGTCAAGCCAGAATCGGGTTCGGGGCGCTTCCCGAAAGGAGTTGCAGGGCGTGAAATTGGCGAGGACTCGGTGTGTAGTGTCTAAATTCATTGTTTCTGTTCTACTGTAGAAGATTTAGTCCAACTTGAACAAGTGTATAAACATCAGCAAAGCGAAAATTTACGGTAGTATGAATATGACTTTTGCGAAACTCAAGTCTGAAGTTCATGACTACTCTATGGACCAAGTGTGATGGCTCAGAATGCCCTGAACCAATACCGTAATAGGCCCTGACATCCACGTGTTTCGTGCAAGTCAGGATGACATGAGCTTGCTGCTGATGCCTGCAGCCAGCCGGCGGTACGCATCGCTGTGCAGCACCGGTGGCGCCTGCTGCTGCTCACTGCGCTCCACCTCCCACACGTGCTGCTCCAGGGGACGGGCTGCTGCTGCCTCGCCTGCCAGCCCGTGCGCCACACCGCCTGCCTGCTCCTCCCTCTGCTCCATGTGCCACCCGCCTGCCTGCATATGACTCTCGCCCACCATATTGCTCAAACCGCTTCCATGCCTCTCCCTCCCCATCTCCAGGGGCACACACCCCAGTCCATGAACATGGCCGCCGCCCTCCCACCCATCACTGCGTGCCCCCCTGTCCACGCCACAGCCAGCGCCCCACCACCCCGCCACCACCCTCTCTGCCGCTGCTGCCACCTCACCTGCCCCTGCCCCGCCCGCCCCTTGCTCGCCCCACACCACCCACCGCCCTTCCCTGACTGCACCACGCACCCCTGCCACCAAGCCCGCACTGCCAGCACGCGCCTCGCCCCCCTCACAGCCTTCCTGCCCCCCCTCCCGCACACGCTGCTGCCCCGCCATCCCCCCACCCACCACCGCTGCTCCCACCCGTGCGCCAGGCAGAGAAGCCGCAGTGGCAGCAGCAGCGGATGGCATGCAGGGTGTGGCGTGGGCGTGCATGGGGGGCGCGTGCATGGGGGCGGCGTGCATGGGGGGGGCGTGCATGGGGTAGAGCAGCAGCGCCCTGGCCCTGGCTGCTGCTGCGAGCGCATGTGAGCCGCGCACGTTCTCCGCTGCACTGCCCCACTGCACAGCCGCGAGCATGGCAGGGCGGCATGTGAGGGGAGGGCCATGTCAGTGCGGAGAGGGGCGATGTGAAGCAGTGGGGAGAAGAACCACCATGAGATACAATGCGGAAAGCACTCTTTGTCAGCCATTGATACGATGCGGACACAACAGCTGTATGCACAGCACACGGCCCCACACAACAGGTGTGTGCACCCACCCCCAACACCCACCCGCCTGGCGGCCTCCTTGAAGGCCTCGCGGTGGTCCATGTCCGCGTTGCCCGCCCGCAGGCGCATCATCTCATCCCTGTGCACGGCATGGCGGGGCGGCGGACACGCGGCGAGAGAGAGACGCGAGGGACAGGCAGAGGACGGAGCCGAGCAGGTTTCAGGCACGTGGAGAGAATGCAGAGGAGGGATGGAGCAGAGCAGGTTTCAGGCACGTGGAGAGAATGCAGAGGAGGGATGGAGCAGGAGGAGCAGAGCAGGTTTCAGGCACGTGGAGAGAATGCAGAGGAGGGATGGAGCAGGAGGAGCAGAGCAGGTTTCAGGCACGTGGAGAGAATGCAGAGCAGATGGGATGGAGCAGGAGGAGCAGAGCAGGTTTCAGGCACGTGGAGAGAATGCAGAGGAGGGATGGAGCAGGAGGAGCAGAGCAGGTTTCAGGCACGTGGAGAGAATGCAGAGGAGGGATGGAGCAGGAGGAGCAGAGCAGGTTTCAGGCACGTGGAGAGAATGCAGAGCAGATGGGATGGAGCAGGAGGAGCAGAGCAGGTTTCAGGCACGTGGAGAGAATGCAGAGGAGGGATGGAGCAGGAGGAGCAGAGCAGGTTTCAGGCACGTGGAGAGAATGCAGAGGAGGGATGGAGCAGGAGGAGCAGAGCAGGTTTCAGGCACGTGGAGAGAATGCAGAGCAGATGGGATGGAGCAGGAGGAGCAGAGCAGGTTTCAGGCACGTGGAGAGAATGCAGAGGAGGGATGGAGCAGGAGGAGCAGAGCAGGTTTCAGGCACGTGGAGAGAATGCAGAGGAGGGATGGAGCAGGAGGAGCAGAGCAGGTTTCAGGCACGTGGAGAGAATGCAGAGGAGGGATGGAGCAGGAGGAGCAGAGCAGGTTTCAGGCACGTGGAGAGAATGCAGAGGAGGGATGGAGCAGGAGGAGCAGAGCAGGTTTCAGGCACGTGGAGAGAATGCAGAGGAGGGATGGAGCAGAGCAGGTTTCAGGCACGTGGAGAGAATGCAGAGGAGGGATGGAGCAGGAGGAGCAGAGCACCCACCGGATGAAGAGGTTGTAGGTGGACGCCTTGCGATGCCTCTTGACAGCGGCTCCTCCCTCCCTCCCTGCCGCCTTGCTGCTTGCCCTGCCACCCCTCGCCTCTCCCCCCCTGCACCTCTCCTCCTTCCCGCAGCCATCACCCACCTCCTCTGACCCCTCCCTCGCCACTGCTTTACACCCTGCCATGCCATGAGAGGGTGCACATGCCATGAGGGTGCACATGCCATGAGAGGGTGCACATGCTATGAGAGGGTGCACATGCCATGAGAGGGTGCACATGCCATGAGAGGGTGCACATGCCATGAGAGGGTGCACATGCCATGAGAGGGTGCACATGGCATGAGAGGGTGCACATGCCATGAGAGGGTGCACATGCCATGAGAGGGTGCACATGCCATGAGAGGGTGCACATGCCATGAGAGGGTGCACATGGCATGAGAGGGTGCACATGCCATGAGAGGGTGCACATGCCATGAGAGGGTGCACATGCCATGAGAGGGTGCACATGCCATGAGAGGGTGCACATGCCATGAGAGGGTGCACATGCCATGAGAGGGTGCACATGCCATGAGAGGGTGCACATGGCATGAGAGGGTGCACATGCCATGAGAGGGTGCACATGCCATGAGAGGGTGCACATGCCATGAGAGGGTGCACATGCCATGAGAGGGTGCACATGGCATGAGAGGGTGCACATGCCATGAGAGGGTGCACATGCCATGAGAGGGTGCACATGCCATGAGAGGGTGCACATGCCATGAGAGGGTGCACATGCCATGAGAGGGTGCACATGCCATGAGAGGGTGCACATGCCATGAGAGGGTGCACATGCCATGAGAGGGTGCACATGCCATGAGAGGGTGCACATGCCATGAGAGGGTGCACATGCCATGCGATGAATGGGTACACGGGGCGGGCCGAGGCATGCAGCGAGGGGGAGTGAGCACGAGCTGCTGGAGCGTGCAGATGGGAGAAAGAGGCACGAGCAAGATGGGAGAAAGAGGCACGAGCAAGATGGGAGAAAGAGGCACGAGTGGGTGGGCGTACCAGTGACAGTAGCGGGTGGGCGTACCAGTGACAGTAGCGGGTGGGCGTACCAGTGACAGTAGCGGGTGGGCGTACCAGTGACAGTAGCGGGTGGGCGTACCAGTGACAGTAGCGGGTGGGCGTACCAGTGACAGTAGCGGGTGGGCGTACCAGTGAGAGTGGCGGCTCGCTTGCGCTTCCTGAGCGCTCGCTGCGCCCTCTTGCTCTCCGCCGCACTCCCCGCCCCACCCACCCCTCCATCGCTGGCCGGTGCCGCCTCTTGCGAGTCAGCAGCGACGGTGAGGTGGGCCGCCGTGAGCGGCAGGGAGGGGTGCGATGGTCCGGTGGTACAGCGCAGCGCAGCGGGCAGGTGCATGCGCGGGAAGAGTGGCTGCCGGGGGGGTGGGACGAGGGGCGGATGAGAAGGACTGGCAGGAATCAAGAAAGAAGGGAAAGAGGGTGGGTCTGACAGTAGAGAGAGAGAGATGAGGAAGGGGAAGGGGAGGAGGATGAGGAGTGCGAAAGGCAACACTCAGGCGTCCACCAGGCACGTACCTCATGGCCCATGCCCTCCAGGCACGTACCTCATGGCCCATGCCCTCCAGGCACGTACCTCATGGCCCATGCCCTCCAGGCACGTACCTCATGGCCCATGCCCTCCAGGCACGTACCTCATGGCCCATGCCCTCCAGGCACGTACCTCATGGCCCATGCCCTCCAGGCACGTACCTCATGGCCCATGCCCTCCTGCAGCGCCATCTCCCCAGCAACAGCCAGCTGGCCTCGCTTGCCACTCCCCACCGATGCTATCGCCCCACGGGGCACAGCAGGCAGCACACGGCGCGGTGTGCGTGCCAGCCCAGCGCTGTCACCCGCTGTGGGGCTGCCGTCGCACCACGTGCGCTCCACGGACTCCACACGCGCTGCCAGCGCCTCACCGCACGCGTGCACAGTGCGCCCAGCAGGCAGCGGGGCGAGCGCCCCTGGCGGCGCGTCATTGCTGAGCGCTCCTCTGTGGGCCCCCCTCGCCCCCCCGCCAGCAGCGGCAGATGCCACGTGCACCCCGGCGCCATGAGGCGGTGTGAGCGGGCGAGCGCAGCGCGTGCGAGCGATGGCGGGCAGGGCGTTGGAGGGCAGCGCGAGGAGCGCGGAGCAGTGGCCGCAGGAGAGCGTGCAGATGGCCGCAGCGGGGATGGCGGCCGGCATGTCCACCTGAGAGGGTGCGAGAGCGATGGGGACGGGGCGATGATGGTCGGCCACGTGATGAGGCGATGGGGGCAGCGGCATGAGAATACGAGGCACGGAAAGAAATACAAGGTGAAGGAAAGAACAATTGTAAAGGAGAGAAGTGAAGGAGGGTGCAGACCTGAAGCAGCGAGGAGCAGTGGACGCACGTCACAAGGGCCGCAGCAAACGGCCCCTCCACCTCGCTGTCGCCCACCGCCCAACCCCCCGCCCCCTGCTCCCCACCCTCCACGCCCTCCCCCATCTCGTCTCCGCCTCCAACTGGCTCCACTGATGCTGATGCTGCCCTCTCCCGTTCGCTCATCGCCTCTGCTGCCACGCTGCCACGCGCCACTCCCTCCGCATCGCCCCTGCATCTCCCACTGCCACTGCCACTGCCGCCAGCAGCAGCACTCCTCGCCCGCGTGCCACCGCCCAAGCCCCCGGCGCCAGCACTGCCACTGGCGTCGCTGGGCAGCCCAGAGCCCAGGCGCGCCCCCAGGGCGTGCCACACGCCCGACCCACACGCAGCGCCGTCGGGGCTGCAGCACGCGGCGCCGAGGCCAGGGCTGGCGGGCAGCGCGGGGGCGCCCCCAGCGGCGGCCACCAGGTCGCCGCACGAGCCGATCTGGGAGATGTCCGCCGCTCCCACGGCGCCCTCGCCTGCACTCCCCCGCTGCCCCGCCCCGAGGCGGTTGTGAACGGTAGGGTGCATTGGAGGGGCATGCATGGTAGGGCAGGCGGGCAGATGCAGGGGAGGGAGGGCGAGGGGCGGTAGGGAGAAGGGAGGGAGCAGGTCCCAGTGGGCGTCGTCGTGCAGCACGTGCAGCCAGTCGTCTGCTCCACCTGCTGCTGCCATGCCCTCCACCCCTGCAGCAGAGCGCTCCGTGCCCGCCACAGTGGCTTGGTTGCTCCCGTGGGCAGCATGAGCAGCGATGGGGAGAGCAGTGGCACTCGAGGCAGCGGCAGCAGAGTCTGGATCCGCGGCAGTAGGGGCAGTGGCGGCAGCAGCAGGGGCAGCGGGGGCGGTAGAGGGACTATATGAATCAGCACTGGCATCGGCACTGGCAGCACCAAGAACAGCACGATCGTTGGTGTGACTGGGTGCTGTGGCTGCTGCCTGCCAAGCTGTGCTCCCACCCGCCCATGGCGCCTGCTCGCCCTGCTGTCCCTCTTCGCCTTCCTTGCACCTTCCGCCTCCTCCTCGTACCTCGCCTTCATGCCACTGCCCGCCTTCCTTTCTCCCTTCGTCGCCCTCAGCTGCTCCTCCATCGCTGTTCCCTCCCCTCATGTCACCCGCCTTCCCCTCACCCGCATCGCCGTCATCGCCGTCCAGCAGCAGGCGAGTCACGTCCGCCAGGGCCAGCTGCCCCATTCGCCGCATCGCGTCGCCCTCGCTGCCAGCGATAGCCCACTCGTCGCGCTCCTCGCTCCACGCCATGCCTCTCTCCCAACCCGAGCGTCACTCGCGTCCGCCCTCGCGCTCTCGCCACTCCTCGCGCCCTCTCGCACAGCCGCGCTCTCGCCGCGCCACACGCGCCGTCGCTGCTCTTACAGTGGTTGAGCGAGTGAGCGACAGAAGACGAGCGCAGTGGGTAGCGGCAGCAGCAGGAGTTGGCGGCAGGCGGGGAAGGCTCGGTGGATGCGACGGTGGGAAGGGGCGCCACGCGATGAGAGACGAGGCGTCGTTGCTCGCCTCGCCGCACGCGTCTCCTTTAAACGCCCCTCCCATCCCCTCGCCTCTCCCCACTTCCTCTCAACAGCGACTCGCTGTTCTGCGCTCGCGTGAAGCCCAGCGCATTTCCTGATTCCGCTGGGTGGCGTGAGGGCCGCGGAGTGGCGGACGCTGAGGCGGAACAACGCACCCACCGAACCGCCCACATCTGCTCCGCCGCCTCCCCCATCGCCCGGCCACACACCGCCCGCCTTATCGCTCCGCCGAGCAACGCCGCGGCGAAACCCAGGTGGTGGGGGGGCTGGCGCGCCAACCTGGAAACTACATGTGCGCGACGCATTCGCGATGAACATATCGCTCGGCGACTTCAGCGGCCCTCTGATTGGCCAGGGGCCACACCGTACGCCTTTTCGCGACGAAATGAGCAGCCCTGTAGGCCGACTCGGAGGGGAGCGTTGTGCGATTTACAGCTCGGCGGCGCGAGGTAGGGGGAGCAGCAGCGCGACGTGAGAATCAAGAACACACCCTGCTCTGAGTGGGTAGACGCTCGGCACATCCTCTCCTTGGGGAAACTCGAAGCACGCACCAACCTTCGATAGGTCCGCCACTAGGTACATTCCCTGGGATACGTTGAGTTATAAAAGTGTTTTGAGTTTGTTACAAGTTGTTACGAGTGCAATTGAGCGAGCGAGCAAGAATTGCACTCGAAGCAAAACAGTACATTGAGCGAAGGTATGAGCGAAGAATATATAGCGAAATACAGTGGTAACGGTAATGTGTGAAATGGGGTGCGCTACGGGCCTAGCGCCGAGGCTGGGAATTGTCGAGGCGGAGGTCCGGATCGCGGGTTACCAACCTAATCGTGAGGTTGGGTCGTGTCGTGAACAGTGGCGGGAACAGTGGTCGATGCGAGTGTCGCGGGTGGTAACGGTGCACTGTTGAGAGTGTTGGAAACAATAAGTCTTAGTGCGCTTCTGTCGTGTCAAAACCCAAGACACTAGCGAAGCAGTCCAAATCGAAGCATCGAGTCAAACCTCGGAGGTTAGGGTAACCGCCTGGAGGTTACGGGAAAGTCAAAGGACAGCGACCTTTGACTCGACAAATACAGCGCGACAGTTAAGGACACACAACTGACTCGTTACAGAGCAGTTGCCCGAGTCGCACTGTATCGAATCGCAACAGCAAATACAGTTATCTATCCATTCGTTTCCCTGTACTCTTATATAAAACCTTGTATTTGCTTGTTTAATTTAATCCACTTTGCTCTCACACACTAGTGCAAGGTCGGTTCACAAGTTTCATTAAACGCTTCCGCTATTACAAAGTTTCTTACTCAGAGTCATCCTCTGCAAAGATCCTTAAGGGCTTTCTCAGCCCAACATGGTATGAGAGCTGACAGGGGAAAACTCTAACTTTCTTTTAAGATCATTACAAGACATGGCAACAAATAAGGAAAGGAGCTCCCCTAATGGCTCCTCGGGCACTACTCCTACTCCACCGCCAGCCTCTGGCCTGCAGACAGAGGAAGGCACGGCAGCAAGACCAAGGGGAACGTCAACCGAGACCCCCACGAACCATCCTTCTGACTTCGACCAGAGCATGATGGAGAAATTTTTCTCCTTCATGTCCTTCTACGAGCAACACCAGCAGTCGGGACCTGCACAGACACACAACAGCAACAACGGAGCGACACCCATGAGCCTTTACGGGTCGTCATATGCGCGAGGGAATCAACAGCAGCAACCCACCTTCGCCCCGTACGAGCGCGGGTCGATCAGCTTCCTGCCTCAACCTTCACCTACGCAAGACAAACCAATGGACGCTTTACAAGTTCAGTCGCAATTGGCGCATGTCCTGAAACTACAAACATCAAGACCTTTCGACGGAAAAGACTTCTTCACCTGGTCCTTTGAATTCGAGCTGATGATGGAGGGCGCGCAGATACTCGGCTTCTTCGACGGATCACCTGCAGTATCCAGCAAACGGCACACAATATGAGAAGCAGCAGTATACGTATCAATCGATGATGGCGTACACTATTCTACTGAGAAACATTACACCAACTCAGCAGCAGAACATTCGCTCTTACCGGAACTTCAGCAACTCGGCGGAACTCGCGTACGGCCATCTGAAGAACCTGTATCAAGCAACAGACAGTGTAAACCAGAGCAGGTTAATGGCGCAATTGACAACAGTTGAAATGAAACCAGGAGAAAAGGGATTGGCGTATATCAGCCGATGTCGCGAATTGCGCGACAAGCTTCTTCGATGCGGAGGATCAATCTCTGAAGACGCCTTCGTGACAGTCATCATCGGTGGCCTTGGTCCTCAGTGGCGCGCCGCCAAAGCAATTCTTCGAGCACACGAGAGGATCTCCGAAGCGGCACTCTGCGCCGAAATCCACGCCGAGCAGCAGGATATGGACCTGCAAGAAGAAAGGCACAAGAAAAGGGCATTAGCACCGGAGTTCGCTTTCCATACTCAACGACGACACAACAACTACAACAACCGACAGCAGCAGCCGAAACCAGTACCTCCGTTTTGTCACATCTGCAAGACATCAGGACACCCACGCACGCATTGCCCGTCTCGTCAGACAACACCACAGCGACAACTGCGGCCTTCAAGCTCCCAAGTTGCTTCGACACAAGCAAGTCCGACAACCACGATTCAAGCTTCAACGACTTCAACTGAACAACCTGCACAAGGAGCAAGAAACATAGTCAACTGCATGGTCAAGATAAACGATTCTTGCATAACAGAGTCACCACCCCACTACTCACCAGAAGAGGAGCTCGACAACAGGACGCCCCGCCGCGAATCACTCCACCCGAATCCGACTTACGCCGCCATCGCTCAAAGTGAACCGTCCGGCCAAGACACTTGGTTTTTGGATAGTTGTTGCGGGCAACACATGTGCTCGTCCGGACGCTTCGTACAACGCGAACACCGACTCCAACGAGAAGTTGTTGTCACGGTCGCCAACAATCAAAACCTGCGCACACAACGACAAGGAGTGGTACAGCTTCAGTCAAGAGAAACAAATGTCATACTGCACATGTCAAAGGTACTCATCGCTGAAGGACTCGGTTACAACTTACTGAGTGTTAGCCAGTTGACGGCGAAGGGGATTCACCTGGAAGCCGACAGCACCACCCAAGAGTTCAAGCTATACCACGGGAGAGGCGGCCTCTACATCGGGAAGGCAGTGCTGAAGAACAACGTCTTCGTCCTCGACTTCGTTCCTGACCTGGGCACTGCAGACAGCGACGCCATCGTGAACTTTACCGACTGGACACACCCTCCGGATCTCGACCCCGACTTCAGCCCGGGAGGTTTCTGGTACTCCCACACTATCCCTGAAGCAGAACGAACACGAGCGTTAGCAACGATTCAACAAACACCAGAAGCAGAGACAACATCGACAGCAGCAACAACATCGGCAGCAGCAACAACATCGGCAGCAGCAGAGACAACATCAACAGCAGCAGGAACAACGACACCAGTCACAGTCGACGAAGCACCACCAACACCCGCGCAACAGCTGAATCCGACTCAACGTGAAGTCCACCGAAGCGCCAACTTCGTCGCCAGTTTTTACTCCAACTCCGACGCATACCAACGTTCACCCGGACACCGCGCCTCTGAAGAAATCTGGCACGCACGCACAGGACATCCAAGCAACACGGTTTTAAACAACATGATAAGAGCAGGAGTTCTTGACAAAGACTCCCTACTTCTACCCGACGGCAGAGGACTCCAAAAGGCACGAGGGACTTGCCTTATATGCCCCGAAGCTGACTTACCTCATCGACCGTTCGCTCCACATCACAACCCGAGCGCTCCAGCGTACGCACCACTCGAAAAAGTCTACAGCGATATCCTCTACAATCGCGAACCAGGACAAGTCAACTACATTTACACCATCACCTTCATCGACGCCGCCACTCGATACGTCTGGCATCGTAACCTACCTAGCCGCGACATGGCGCTCGCAGCATTCGCCGCCTGGCTACCGATAGCAGAGAGAGAGTCTGGAACGCAACTGAAAAGCTTCCAGTCAGACGGAGGTGGCGAGTACACCTCTCAGCGCTTCAAGCAGTTCCTGGCGGAAAGGGGGATCAAGCAACTCCTCTCCCTTCCCTACGCACATCAGCAGCAAGGTGTTGCAGAAAGAATGAACAGGACTCTGCAGAACAGCATGCGCAAACTGTTACGTGGCATGCGGCTACCCAACCACCAGTGGCCAGCAGCAATGGACCATGCTGTCATGCTGCACAACTTGTTGTCGTCGTCGTCACTCCCGAACAACGCATCACCGCATCTGCTGTGGACAGGGAAGCAGGGCAGCACAAAAATGTTACGAGTCTTCGGGTGCATGGTACAGTACAGACCCCCAGAAGCACGAGCGGGAAGATTTTCGCAACGGGCACAGTGGGGACTACACCTCGGCATCGAGAAAAATTACAACGCGTGGAGAATCTTCGACGTCCACACAAAAGAAACAGTAGCAGCACGTGATGTGATCTTCTACGAACGACTCACCCTTCAGACGTACCTCGCCAACTTGCACGAGAATCGGGACCTCACCGGTGGTTTTCGTGGTGACCGAGCCTTCGCGTCAGCAGCAGATGAAGCAGAATGGGACGAGCAGAACGTCGACAACGCATCGTAGGAAGCCGGACCTCTTCCGTACTGCTCCGTCGACGTGCCCATGGATGAGGAAAATCCTCGCGACAGTAACAACGCCGAAGTCTTCTACCATT